CCATTTGTTAAACAAACATCAGCTTTAGTGCTTAACTTTGACATTTTAAGAAAGCATCTTTAAAAGAGATCCAGGTAAATTTGGATGTGAAATTGTCTGTAATTGTCAGGTTAAAAAAAAAGAGGTAAGCAAGTTTTCTTTATTCCGTTTTTTTTATTTTTTATATCAGACATGGGAATAAAAAAATCCCACACGTTCTAAGACAGCAACGAAACCTTGAGAGGAATTCAAGCTGCAAACATTCTTTAAAATCAATCTGCTTCTGCTGTCCAAGTCTACACAATTTTTTCTTTAATCTTTTCCCCAGCAAAGCTATGATTACCATATGGAAAATAACTTGATGAAGGTAGTGGAAATGAGTGGATATGAGCTCTATAAATCATGACTACCACAAGTGGGTGAGAAGTCTTGCTGTGATGAGAGGCACCACTTTGACAGTTTGTTTCTCTAGATGAATGGCTTTCATCAGCTGGATTGGAAAGAAATAAACCCTGAGGTATTGAGTAAAGTAGACCAAAAAATAAGAGATGATCAATATGTGCAAAACATATCAGGACACATTAAGATGTAAATTGTATTCAAACTATTTAATAACAAGTCTGAGTGTACAAATAAAACATTTCCATTGCAAATGAGCTAACTTTAAGGCCTTGCAACAGAGTCAAGTTTGAAGCATATCAAAGAACCAAATGTTTTAAAATCCCCCGTTTTCTCAATTAAAACACAGCTGCTTTGATATCGTAATGGCAGAGCCGAAGGGAATGCGTACACTGTTGTTCTCTCGGTTTTATCTGATGACGCTTCTCAACCGTGAACAATGACTTGAGATTACTTGACTTCAATACTCATCAAAATTCTCATTTGTGCTAGTATACTTTCCTCCCATTCTCTTTCATAATGGGTTTAGAGACTTTTCAAGACAGCCTTTATCAGCATGCCTCCAAGTGTGAGATGCTTGAGTAGACCTGGAATAGATTAGTCACCGAGATGATACAAGGCTTTTATGTCATGAATATAAAATATCCTCCACATCTCATAAAAGTTTAGGCATTCTGTGATGGGGGTTTTGTATCACATTCTTAAGTTTCCGAGCATCCAGAAAGGCAGAATAAAACGAGTGTACTTATATCTTTGTCCAATACACGGTAGACTAAAAGTGACAAGTGTCTATTGTTCCTAAGCTTTCATGGTTAAACATCAAATAAGAGGAATAAAATCAATCAATAAATGAAGCATGACACTTTTTTTTTCCAAACAGAAAAAAATGTAAGTTAAAATAATATATGAATGATTACATGTAATCTAGATGTAAACTAGAGAACATGAACTGTTTCCTGACAGCTTCTGTTGTAAGAAAACAGATATAGAACACTTTTGATATATATTTCTAAATTGATATCTGACCTCCAAATGACCATTCTGCATGTTAAGACAAAAATAATTAGCTTGTTTTTCTAAACCTATGTCAGTATTTTGATATCTAACCACGTCAATTCAAGCCTGAGCTTTAAGTGACTTTAAGTGACTTTAAGTGACTTTAAGTGTAGTTTCTCACTACATTTAACTGAATGTAGTGAGAAAGTTTCAGTGGCATGATGGACGCTGCACTTGAAATAACGTTTTGATGGCGACAATACTCTCGAGTAAAACATAGACTAATTATATGGAAAAAAATGAGACTTCCATGAACACTGCATGACTAAATACTATAAAGTTTTCTGGTAACAGACTATGCTGTGAGAAATGTGCTGGTGATTGGTAAACAGACACAATGTTTGGCTCTGAAATACAGATGCCCCATAATGTTTCTAATCTATTTTTGAGAATTGATGCTAACAACTGCAATAACTAATAAGCCACAAAGTCATACGATCATGCATGAACCACTGCTCGGCTTTATTGAGCGTTATTTCCAGAACCCCCTTCAGGCCCAGGTTTTTTCAATGTGTAATTACAGAGAACGACACAGCAACCTGTGGGTTTGTGTGTAGGTGTGTGTGCGTCTGCACATGTGAGTTTCAGAGCCATCATTGGAGGTCCATAGTTAATCAGCAGTCGAGCAAAAGTCTCAGGGATCAGTCCATCGATTCTCTCCCGGGGCAATCAATTCCATCAAGGCATTACTTAAACTGAACTTAGATCAGAAAGTGGATGACAAGCAGCAGGCAAAATGACAGAAACAAGATTGCTACGCACAGATGTTGGCTGGCAGAAGGATATTTAAAGGTCTTAAACAACACAAAGAAAGTGCTGAGAAGCAAAAACTAAAAAATGTACAGAAACAACCAATGCAGATGCTTCTGGAAGGAACAGCAGGTACAGTTTATCCCTTTACCTCATCATATCAAGATGTTAAAACTAAAGGGCATTTTGCGCCATTTCTGAATTCTGTCCACATTGTATAGCTTTACACCATCACCAACTCCATCACACTTCTTTTTGATTGTTGTGTTTCCATGGCATTGAAGCATAACAAAGGCAATGAAAAAAAATAATGTAATTTGTTCATCATTTAAGTCCGTTTGCCAACAATATCTGTCAAAAGAGTCTCTACCGTGAGCGTTGTAACTTAAAGATGCAATATTGCACATATATTCTACTGCTGCAGAATTCATGCAAGTGTTAACTGTTTGTTGCAGCAACAGCCTGATTAATGGTGCCTAATGTCATCCTTACACCTGGACCCAGGTCTTAAGGTTCAGTGTCCTGCAACTTTTAGATCCATCTGAGTCGCCTGAGTCTAATGATTCATTATATCCTTTTTTTTTGTAGTGTTTGTAAAAGTATGATTTTATTGTAATGTTTGTGGTGTGGAACCCAGGAAGAATAGTCTCTACTATGACAGAGACTAATGGCAATCTTTAAATAACCAAATGAGGCCAAATAATGAGGAAAGTGCACAGATGTGAACAAATACAAAGTTTCAATTCCTGTTGTTGTAACATTGTTTTATTTTTACCTCATAATGCATGTAGAATACCATGATAGACCTGTGGTGATCGATGCGTCTGGAAAGAGTTCGAGAAGCTCTCCGTGTCTGACCTTGATTAGATATAATGAGACTAAACCACTAGTACTGATCTGATGAAATGGGTTGGATTTTAACCTTGCGATGAATACTGAATACAAGTATTGAGTTCAGTTTTACCCACATACTTATGCCAGTGCGCACACTCTAAGCTTTTAGAAAAGGCATGTGCTCGTATGCAAACCCACACACGTTCTTGGCCTCTGCCAATCAGATTTATCATTGGGGATCTTCAAAGCCCCCTTTGATCACCTCTTTGAGATCCATATTGATGAAAAAGTGCCAAATAGGATGTGGGTTGTAGTGTTAGAGTTGAATGACAAGACTGAAGAGGAAAGACAGATTTCTAGCTCTGAACCAGGACATGTATTTGATGAGTGTCTCACCAGTCCTGTATCTGTGAAGTAAACAGATGCTCTGTGACTTACCAAGAATAGTGAAAAACCAGTAATCTGAAACTTTGAACAATGGAATTAAAATTGTTCATCAATTGATACTTTGCTGAAGGGTTTTATTGAATTACTGGAGTTTGCCGAGTTGGGAAAGTCACTGCTAGCTTCCTGTCCTAAATGCTTCTGTTTGTGCTCAACACACTCTTTATGTTTCTTTTTCCTATCATCATTTGCTTTCTGAGATAAATTATTCAATATCTGACAGCTCACTGTGACGCAGCATAGGGACACTGTGAGCAGTTTTGCTACAAAGATCATCTCTGCAAGAAACTTAGGTAGAGAGGAAGGACACAAGGAGAAAAGGCGGATGCCTCCAAACACCCCAACAAAGAAAAACAGTAATTGCTTCGTTGGAAACACTTTCTACCCCAGGAATAGGACACAATTGAAGTCTTGGACTGAAGGAAAGAAATAACCCAATGCTGAGCAAAAAGAACAAAATACAGAATAGCTTTATATTTGCCAATAATAACCCAAAAATGTATAAGCAACAGATCTAACCACAAGCAGTAAAGTGTCTATTAAAGGTTTTAGAAGGTCTGTGAAGTAGTAGAAAAAATATATCTAAGTTTTGCTGTGGACTACTTCATTAAACTTTAAAGTATCGGTCTTTCCTGCTCTGATCAGCTGCTTAGTAAGGTAAAAGTAATAGAGATAATTAGAAATTATTTCTTTCCACTTTTCACTTTAGCTGTGAGGAAATGATGTAAAATAAGTCTAAATGTTTTGTCACTCCTTTGGCCTTGATTAAACCATGTATGGCAGTCCAACTGAAAGCAATTTCCTGATGCAGTGTTCAAGGAATGGAAGGTTGCAAAGTGCAGCAAGCACAAAGAATGGACATCCTTGAGAGTGACGGAAGTGTTACCAGAACAGAACTACTGTCGTGAATCCAGCATGAATGTATGAGAAGAGAAGAGGAAAAAAAAAAAAAAAAAAAAAAAAACTGCTGACGTAATGCAGATGTTTATGCTCTTTAAAAAATGCAAGTTGACTTCTGTTTAACTCACGGATACACAACATGTGTTAGCACATGTGAGACGTGTCAACTGTGTATGTGGGAATAGGTGTTAACTTACCTGACTCTCTGTTCCATCTGTCACTGTATCAGTGTTTGCTGGGTTAGAGCCCCAGTTAAACGACAGTTAAACAACATTTAACTGAAGTCCTAAAAGGGGTGCGGGTTTTAATGTTTTTATCTTTTTTAATCTTTTTCAAAATGCCTCTTTCTCACTGTTTATTCAATGTCACATGCTGTTTTTATTTTAATTATGTAAAGCACTTTGAAATGCCTTGCTGCTGAAATGTGCTATACAAATAAAATTTGATTGATTGATTGATTGATTGATTGATTGATTGATTGATTGATTGATTGATTGATTGATTGATTGATTGATTGATTGATTGATTGATTGATTGGTTGATTGATTGATTGATTGGTTGGGTTTGTGGCACCGCTCATCAACATGTGTGGTTAGGTTCGCCTGTTGAACATACAATGCATCTGTGAAGCTACTTACTGCAGATTGCATCAGCCTCATCCGAACCATCTGCACACTCTGGTTCTCCGTCGCAGCGCCACCTAGCAGGCAGGCATTGTCCGTTCTTACAGGCAAAGTCAGTGGTCGCACAAGTCTTCTTTGCTGTGGAAATGAAAGAAATGTTTACTATGATAAACCTACAAAAAGAAATCCTGCAGATAATGTACACTGGATTTTTAACAGCATTATTACTCTTTAATAATATTAACTACTGTCTTATCAAGTGACTGACAGCATGTGACAAAAATGAGCAGAAAAGAAACATCTTAAAATCCATTCAAAAAGGCCAATTAATTCAAATCCAACAAAAGTCAAAAGATAATCCCTGAGCTCCAATTTCAAACCAATTTTCCAGTTAAATTTTTATTTAATTATGAGCAAGTAACGTTTTGACTCAAACTGTTGCCGGCTGTGTTCCAGGTGCTGTGTTCACATGCAGCTTAGAACGTGGGAGGTTGAGAGGCCTTTGATAAACTATTATTTGACAAAGATTCTTTTTTCACATCGACTGTGGGTCAGGGACATTTGCTAGGTGAAATTGAATGTCAAAATGTACGTATTCTGTCCAAACTATGTTTGTATTCCAAGATTTCTTTTCTTAGCAAAGGACCGGATGTGCAAAATGTATTTTGAAGGACAAGTGTAACTTCTATTTTTCTCCTCTGTACAAGAGAATATCTAATGTAAACACCATCCTGCATATAACTGACTGTATGCTTCTCCAATTGTTGCCTTCTCCTTTACATTTTCAACTCAAGAGACAATCTTTCAATGAAGGAAAAGTTGGAAGTTGGAAACTGTGCAAAACTTGCATGTACAACAAATCGTGCATCTGTGCTTTACTTTGAAAGAAAAAAAGCTGACAGTATACTGTGTCTGTAAAGTGTGTTTTAACAGTTTTATACTTGGCACATAGATTTCACTTGGTGTCAAATTTCCTCATCTTTATAGGTTTATGAAAGATGTGTTCCCTTAAGAAAGGACACTCTACAATACTGGAGAATTTTGTGTTGAAAACGTTTACAGTAAATTCATTTTAATGAACGACAATGATTTGTTCCAGCCCTGGCAGTACATCCTCTTGTTTGTAAAGTGGGACCCTTATTAGCTTGAAGTTTTTCGTGTATAGTGCATGACGCAGTGTTGGTATGACTGACAACACATCTGGGAGCAATGATTATGAAGTACAAGCATTGAAAACTGACACCATTGCAGCAGTGGCGATAGATCCTTCCTATATGTATATGAAATTTTGCTTACAATGTAAGGTGAAAAATAAATTACATGTGCACACGCTCACCAGCACACACAATATTGATTTTTATAAGAGAAAAGAGGCTGCTTGTTGGGGGCTGAAGACATTAGAGAGATAGAACTGAAGAAGGTGTAGGTCTAGAATAAATCAGCAGCATTTCCCCGGGGACTTGCAGAGTAGTCTGAGCTACAGACAAAGGTAAATAGAAAGAGCAGGATGGAGAAAACGGGGATACAGAGACAAAACGTGTGACGGAAATGCACTGCCATTGCAGGGTCTCATGTAATGCCATCAGTCATCACAAAGGATCACATAAATCCCCTTCATTCCTACCAGCATGTTAGCATAAATCCTATCTCTTCTGGTCTGCTTTTCCTTTTTTTTTCCATCTTTCACTGAATCTCTGCTTATAGCCTGATAACAGAGATTTGTGGAGCATGCAAGGAATGTCCCCTTGGAAGTAAAAAAAGAAGAAAAAAAAGTGCAGTCAGTGGCATCTTAAATCACAATAAGCCTCATGTCAGATATCCACAAATTAGGATTTCGTTTCACACTCATGAAACATCAGCTGATGTACATCACCTTAATCTTCCAAAGCAGCTTTTTAAAATCAGAGGAAGGTGCAAAAGAGCCAAAGTAAAAGGCAGGGTTACAGTATACAGTTTATAGACACAAAAGACTCATTAAAATAAAGACGCTTGTAAATACAATCCCATCAGTTTCCAACAAATCTTTCTTTTCTCTTGGAGAACAAATGGAATTTGATTCCGCTTGCCCTCTTTCTACGGGTGAAAGGAACTGAAAAGCTTGTGTCCATCAACAAATACAATATGAATTTAATTAACCTTTGGGAAAGATATTTTAGGCAAAACATTCAAAGTTAAAACTGTGATATGACTATTATTCCTACTCAGATATTTTTTTTGTAATTCATGTCAACCTAAAATTTAAATTATATTCTTAAAAGGGTCTCAAAAAGTCTTAAAATGAACTTAATTTAATTTAGTAGCAGAAAGCCTGTTTTCAGTACCAGGTCTTTCAGGTTCATATAGTACAGTCTATTAGGGAACTCCAAAAACATAAAAAAACATAAAAAAACAAAAAAAACTTTTTTTCTTGCTCTGACAGTAAACGTAAACACATTTTACTCAATTAGCAACACAGGTTCACATCAATGACTTGATTGAAAAGATGCGCATAACATGACTAATAACTGGAGAATCAAACAATATAGCTGGACTAGAATGTATAAAGTCTGTTCATGTCTTTCAACGCTTCTCAAAACTTGCTGATGCACACACAAACAGCTGCTTACATTTGAATTCTGATAGGCCAAGAACTGTCACATACGAGCGTCATCCATATGGAACAGTCTGAATCTAGCTTATGAGGTGTGAGAGCGAATGTGGAGAAAGAGAAGATGTATAAGCACTTTAGACAAACACACACGCGCGCCATCATGCAGACACACACAGCCTACATACCATCCACCCTTCCACCTAGAGTGGAGACGCAACGTTTTATTTTAGTCCCCCGTCTCCTGATGGAAAAAGTGATGAATATTTATGTGGGAAACAGACACACCATTGTAGCTCCTGGCAGATTTTATCGACATTATTGAGCCATCAATAACTTTATTCACATTTAAATTGCACCATCAAATGCTCAATTCTGCCCCATCATCCCACTTCACTTGCAGTACACTCAGGTATTTATTCTATATGTTTTACTGACTACTGTCCTGTTCATTTCATGACATTCAGTTTATTTACATTTATTTTGATCTTTGCTTTCCTGACAATGTGAATGCTAATTCACAGGTATTAAATAATGTATTCCGGACAAGTGAAGGATTATGCTGTTACAGGTATACATTATCATATAGAGTTTTGCTGCGTGTCAGGTGCTGCTGGCCTTTGCACCATGCATTAATTCTTTGCACCTCTAAGGACTTTCTCTGCTGAAATCATGGCATAAAGCTTAGAACGACTTGGTTTTGCTCATAAAAGTTAAAGTAACATCTAGAAACCACAGCACTTAAATCTGATGTTATCTATTCATGCCATTCTTCTACATGTGATCAGAAAGTTAGGAATTTGTAACATATTTTCACATACCAGTTACTCTGCAGACTACAACCTTGAGTGACAAAATGACTTACAAAAGGAATCGTACAGCACTTTCAGTTACTGTGAAAAATACTCCATAAACTTTACCACAGTTTGTCATGTACCAACCACAAACTTCTAGTATTTATTTGGGATTTTATTTATTTGGTGTTGGTGGACCAACACCAAAATCTGTAAAATGAAAGAAACATGATACATAGTTGTCAATTTTAACTCCCTTATAAACTGTAAATCAAATTTAATGGAAAGAAAACCGCTTCAGGAGTCCGCAAATTACTAAAAAGAGTTCACTCCTGCAGAGTTTAATCTCATTACAAATTTAGTTGTTCTCCTGAAGGAAATTTGTTAGAGAACATTAGTGAATGAACAGCATAAAAAAAAAAAACAAAGAGACACAGCTACCTGACCCAACAAATAAAAGCCGATACGGGACACTGATGTAGAATATCAAGCTGGAAGTTTCACTTGAAAGACTTAGTAGAGACCATAATGGTGACTTAATGGATATTCTGACAACGCAGAATTGCATATTCATTCAGTGCATACTTTACTAGGGATAATTTAAATCAATATAATGTAAATGTGTCAGACTTGGTCAAATCTCCACCACTCAGTTAAAGCTTTTGGGACTTAATCTAAAGCTAGTCTTTATACCCCATAGAGAATTTGGGAACAAGTGTTTTGTGCTCTTATGCAATTGTATCACATGGACACACTGTCATTTTAAAACTGCCTTTATCTCTTGTCCAAAAGCAAATGTAATTTAATATTGCTGTAGGCGCTTTGTATGGTTTTTAAACCAATGTTCAACTCTTACATCTAACTCTTAACAAGTCCTACTCTGATTTTGATACTCTTAATGCCGCACCAATAGGTCACACTGTGTCAATTCATTGACATATCAGCAGCTCTACTGATGCAGTGTGAGAAAGCACCGAGTAGATTAGCATGTTTTGGACACACTTCAGTCATCTACCCTTTAAATACATATCATTGTGTTAATGTTTAATGTTAATGCTCTGCTGACATTCAGCAACTGTCACTCTGAAAACCCCGGGGATCAATGAGTGACGAAATCGACCCACTGATGTTCACCTCGAGTATAACCAAACCTCCACAAGCTTGCAGCTTATTAGGATTCTCCTCTACGTATTACTGCCAACATGTTTTGGAACACTGGTTCAAGACGAGAACAGGTAAAGGTCATCCTGTTGCCTTGAAGTCATTCAATTTTCCATTCCGCTAGACACACAAAGTAAAAGGAATACAGAAATAAAACAGTGACCGAAACATAAATAACTAAGGGAACACTGCGTCACCTGTAATCAGGATCTATTCACTCCAGATGGCAAAATGTGGATTTCCTTCTCTGAGACTTGCTACATGCAATTTTTACTTATGCATGGAAAAAAATAAAAATCAAATGTCTCATCTTTGTCACATGTATTAAATGAGCTGAGTAGAAACCTTTGCTTTAGTTGCTTAGCAGCACATCAAGCTGGTTGATTCCGTCTACTTACTATAAAAATAATATTTAGCTCTAATTTATTTCTGGTCACCTGCATTGGAGGAAATCGAGCCCTGGATCAGAATTAAACCTAGGTTCATTATTACACCAATGTGATTTTTTTTTTCCATTTATTTTGGTTCAGACAAAAGCAAACATGTAGAACAGCAGACATACAGATATTTTAAACTGCCTACACATATGTTAAATA